TTTGCCGGAGCCTGTAAGACAAATTACATATATTGCAGCTTTTGTATCATAATTCATAATAAAAAAAACATCTTTTTATGTACCTGCAATGTAACGTGCTTTCCATCAATACATCCTATACAGTTTGGATAGTTCCAAAGTCGCTGAAATTCGTTGGCAATTTCCTGCCAATTCTCTGGACTGTCATCAGTAAAATATGTCTCCTTCAAAGCATTCCATATTGCCCCGCAGGTCTCTGATATTATCTTTGATGCAGTATTATGGCCAATTCGATAGGCATATGAGATCGATGCCATGCTGTCTCCTGATGCTAAATATCGAAGTGTAATTTGCAGACGTGTTTCAGGAGGAATTGGCTCTCGAACAACATATTGTTTCACAATCGATGGGCCGACTAATTTGAGTAGTTCTTGAAATAAGATGGGATCCATTCGGAAATAATTGACAAATTTTTGTTTGTCTGCAGTCTCCATTTCAATTACGCGATTATCACTCGCTCCTTGTAATAATCGCCGTTGTACGGTAAATATAGGACGCACCCAATATTGTCGTTCTTTTTTAGATTCTTCGTCTATCGCAATTACGTACAGTGCATACAATAACAATATTTTACGTCGCAATTCTTGTCGACGAAAACTACTGTAACTTCGTTTAAATTTATTTACAAAACAGAAAATGGCTAGTAGTATTGTTTCGGAATCCATTTTCTGCCGTACACCGATGTCACGCAAAAGTCACAACAATTCTTCGGCGAACGCAAGCGAGGTGATCCTCTTCGAGGAGACAAGATTAAGGGCGATCTGGATCTGAAACGTAAATCGACATGGTGACACACTGTTCTCGGAGTAACGTAGATGATTTGGATCTAGATTAAGCGGCGGCGAATACCTTGGCGATAACCTTGGCGATCTTGATCTCGACACTGCCGTACACCAATGTTACGCAAAAGTCACAAAAATTCTTCAGCCAACGCAAGCGAGGTGATCCTCTTCGAGGAGAAAACGAGGGCGATCTGGATCTGAAACGTAAATCGACATGGTGACACTGTTCTCGGAGTAACGTAGGTGATTTGGATCTAGATTAAGCGGCGGCGAATACCTTGGCGATAACCTTGGCGATCTTGATCTCGACACTGCCGTACACCGATGTCACGCAAAAGTCACAAAAATTCTTCGGCGGATGCAAGCGAAATGATCCTCTTCGAGGAGAAAACGAGGGCGATCTGG